GAGTTGTCCGCTCGGGTAAGCCAGGTCTAGAACAATAAACCCAGGTTTTGAATCTTGAATAACTCAGCTTCATGTCGGATCCCTAGTATGAACACTTGTTTGCATCATGTGCACTTGACTTAGGGGACTCAACATAGAGGTTGGATCCGTCTAGGACAGGTGTATCCAAAATAACAGACCATCTTGATGCATCCTATGTGCTATATGTTGCATTTTTTCAAGGGCAAAAGGGTCATTTGGCGGACTAATGATAGCTGAGGGAAAATGAAAAAGAAAAAGAAAAAGAGGTTGAAGTGTGAAGATAAAGCGAGTTGTGCCCAATTATGTTTTATGTAACATTCTTGTTAAGAAAAAAAACTTGAAAATTCGAAGAAAAAAAAGAGATTTTGCACTTTTTCATCATTTTCCGTAAATCAAAAAATCAGAAAATCAAAAAAAGAAAAAGAAAAAAAATCCAAAAAAAGAGTTTACATGTTTCATCATTTTTCAAAAAAAGAAGACAAAAATATGTTTTCTCTAAATTAGTTTTTTTTTTAATTCTCGCCCGTATCCAATCTGCCCGAACTACGCATACCTGATTCTTGTCTTTCGGGACGGGATACGTAGGCAACCCACATAGGGTCCGATCTTCCTAGTAAATCGTATGTTCTTAGCTTTGCGGGGTCTTAGCCAAATTTTGCACTTCTAGCCACCTTTTGGCCAAATAAGTCATTTTGCAAAAATAGCCTCAATCATGCCTTGCATGTGTCTTAGGGAATGTTATTGTCTCACATAGTGTTGGTTTAAGTTTTCTCATACAGGTGTGGATCTACTTGTCGAAGTTTGAGCATGACAGATACCCCAGTATCACTGCATTCAGGAGATGCTCGAGGAGCCATTTTATGTTTTTGAGTCAATTGTTTTTGTTTTATTTTCTAGACTTGTATAGTAGTATTTAGTCTTTTAGGTGATGTTAGAGTTTGTATTGTCTAGTTAAGCTTGCATAGTCTTTTGTTATTATATTTCTTATTTTGCACTTGGAAATGTGTTACAAGTCAAAAATCCAAAAAAAAAGAAGAGAAAGAAATTTTGCGTTTTTATATTTTCGTTTTAAGTTTTCTTTAGAATACTAATTCTAGAAATAAAAAAAGTTTCCTTTGAGACTGTTTTTCCTTTAGGTAATTAATATCAAGATAAAAATTATTGTTATATTTCCTTTACTATATTGGGACCAAAACTCAAAAAAAAAAAAAAAGAATTTTCTCTTAGTACCTCTTTAAAAGTTTTCTTTAAGGTATTAATTTTAAAATCTAAAAGATTTTCTTTTGAGGCGTTTCTTTGAGAAATTAGTATTAGAACTTTAGGATATTATACATAAAAAAAAAAGCATACTTTATCTTTTGTTTATCATTAGAATTTTTCCTTTAGGCAATCAAAATTGAAATCCAAAAACATTATTTTTTTTTCTTTTTTATTACTTGCTTCGAAATCTTGAGTCAGGATATCAAATGAAGATTGAAAATGTTTTTCTGTGGTTTATTCCTTAGATTTATTTCATTAAAAAAGAATCAAAAAAAATATTTTTCTCTTTTAGGGTTTTTCCTTGATAATTTCTCATAGAATATCTGTTTTTTTTAATTAAAAAAAAAGAAAATGAAAATGTTAGTTTGTTTACTTTATTCCCGATCTTCCCGAACTACGCAAAGATCTGATTCATGCAGCGTCATGATACGTAGGCAACCTACATAGGGTTTGATCGAATTATTTTTTTATTTATTAAAAGAAAAAAAAAAGAAAAAAAGGAAAGAAAAAAAGAGATGTGAAATTGTGGGATGTGAGATATGAGAAAGAAAGAGTGATGATTAAAAAAAATGAAAGAAAATGGGTAAGCCAGCAAGTGCTAGAAAAGCAAAGAAAAGAGAAGATTGAAATGAACAAAATTGGGATGATGCCAAGTGACCTGATGACCCTCGAAGTCATTCTAGAACCATTAATTGTTGCTAGGTGCGTCACACGCAATGTGATATTTTTGCTGTTAAATGCCCTAACGCTAACGGGTTGACTCCATTTTGTTCCTTTTGATATCTTCATAGTAGAAAAGTGGTTGGTTTGTGGTTCTCGAAGTAGTAACTCCTCTCTACAACATAAGGTCAAAAGGCAATGCTGGACAACAACAAAATTGGATTGGTTGATACCGGTACCCGAAAGCAGTTGGTTGAACAAAACACTAGTTTGGTTGATAAGGTAAGGATGTTAAGACAACACATGACAAACATGTATCAGGACTGGATGACTGGGAAGGCACCACCCCCGCAACCACCTAGCCTCTTAGATGTTGCGTTTACCCAAACTCCAGTCATAGTGCCGGATGATCCCCCATACTCTCCAGATCCACCCGTCTATCACAGCTTTCCCGATCGTCCTAGTAGCTGTATCACTCATCCTCCAATTACCTCTCCCTAATATCGCCCTCCTGTCAAATCCACTATCCCCGATAATGAACATCCACTCAAAGCTCATGATGCCCGATATTACCCCTCAGAGATTGCCCACAAGGTTCCCAACTCATACAAGTAGGGCCCGCAGGATGAGCCTCATGTTGAAAATGAAAAGTTCACAGGAAGGGAAGGGCGAGACGAGATACCTAGGAGGCTGAAAGGCATGGCACAGTCCTTAAAGAACAAGCAAATGGAAGACCAGGGTAATATGTCTTACAAAGAATTGTCTTTGTCCCCCGACGTTCGTCTGCCTGCGGGGTTTAAAGTGCCAAAGTTTAACTTGTATGATGGGCGTGGAGATCCAGTAGCCCATTTGAGGGATTATTGCAGTGAAATGAGAAGTGTTGGCGAGAAAGATGATTTGATGATGGCGTATTTCAGTGAGAGTCTAACTGGGGCAACTTTGGAATGGCATAATCGTCAAGATATTGGTAAATGGCCTACATTAGGTGATATGGATCAAGATTTTGTTCTGTGCTTTCAATACAGATCAGGTATTACCCCAGACCGCTCCTCCCTATCTAAAATGGAAAAGAAGCCGGAGGAAAGCTTTAGGGAGTTTTGGCTCAGATGGAGGGAGCAAGCTGCTCGAGTCAATACCCCGATTGGTGAAGAAGAAATGGTTGAGCTTTTCCTACAAGCCTAGGGGCCCACCTACTTCAGTCATTTAATCCCGACCTTGGGAAAGCCTTTCAATGATGTGTTAAAGATAGAGAAGCTAGTAGAAGAGGGACTCAAGTCAGGCAAAATCATGAGTTGTTCGAAAAACATTCAGAACATCCCAGTAAGCTTGGGTGGAAGAAAGAGAAATAGAAAAGATGATCCAATGGGCT